CTGAGCTTCAGTACTTCATGGAGGGAAGCACTGGAGCTGGGGACTGCAGTTATGCACAGTCTATAAACTACGGTCTGTGTTGCATACTAGGCCTACCTCCAACTAGGAAGCAATCCGTGGATTGGATTTAGGCAATACACCTCGTCGCGTCGGTCAACACCAGGCAGGCAATCAGTAGGCCTAGAGCAAGATACAAGATCTGTTTATTCGCCATGTAGTTTTACAACATACTAGAAATGTGTTGCTGATAGGTACTGACATAAAGACAACATTGGACAGGGTGCAGGGACAAGACAGGACAAGTGCAAAACAGGACAGTGTACAAAATGCAGGTAAAAGTAGAAGCTAATTTAGGCTAGAATAGTATAGAAGTAAAATAAGATTTAAAAAATTGTGTTTTCAGAGAAATAACATTACGCATTGCAATAACCTATAAACATTTCAAACCTATAAACATTGCGAATCTGTAAACATTGTGAAGAGGCAAGAGAGTTTGGTAATCCTTTATCATCCAGAGTAGTGTTGATGAAAGTATTGAGTGATTGAAACTTTGCTCGCCACAGGGTGGCGTCTGTAACGCACATATTAACATAGATACGCTCCTCTGAAATGATTGTCCCCTGCAATTATTATTATCCCTCAATCGAGATCGCTATTCAGCTAGCTAACGTTAGCTTAAACAAACGTAACATGCAACGTTAGCCTAATCTAAAATGCTCTACTACGGCGTACCTTTCATGTGGCTCGTCAGCGCAGACTCTCGCATCGTTATTTTTGCAAACTTTGCAGGAGGCTACTCGTGGGCTTGACCCTCGTCTTAGCCATGGCTTGTATTTGTCTTCTGCTAGCCAACGCTCGTTGAAACTGCAACCTCCTGGCACACAGTCATCTATCACTCTCATCAGAATGCCCAGGTCACACGTAACACAAACACTTGCAGGTCGCGCGCATAGCGCGGGAAGGCCGCAGCGGAGCTGTTTTATGTAGAAGCGAAGCAATTCTTTTCTTTTAATCTAAAAAGCGAACTATTCAGTCAGACAGCAATTTATTGTAAAAGTAAAGCATTTACATTTTCAAGCACTTTATCTCAATTTCAAGCACCATTTCCAAAATTCAAGCACTTTCCTAACCTTGAAAACACCACGTCAAATGTCAAGCATTTTCAAGGATTTCAAGCACCCGTACGAACCCTGAGTAGTACAGTTAAAACCTTAACGATCCGAATAATCGATGAATCGATAGATTCAAATTAGTCGTGTGTTGCAGCCCTAGTGATGACACGTGGTGACACCAATGTGCAATAGGGTCTGTGACGAATTCATCAAGAACATTGTAAGAGCAACTAACGTTACCAACTTTGACACCGATTTAGATTAGGTCTAATTTGATTAGACAATGTCATGAAACCACCAAGCACAAGAAACATTCATTAGCTAGCTAACATCAGCTAACCTACTAGTAAGTTAGTTAGACCATGGCGTCAGAATTCAAACTTAGCAGCAATGCTAAGCTAACTAGCTTATACCAATGGCAATTATACCAGTCTTACCGGTTAAAGTATTCATTGTTCGCTCTTTCATTCGAATACATCATAAGCCTTCTGCCAACAAATGGAACAGTCAGCAACAGTTGGCTGGCTAGCACCAGAGCCATCTACCATAGCCATATACGGCGCTGGCTAGCACTAGCTAGGCTAACGTTAAGGCCACCTGCTTGAAGGTGGACATGGCTGCTATCAAGCTAATGTTACTAGCTAACGCTAGCTATCTATTCGCTACCATGTACAAACCAACACGACACTACTCCACTGGCGTTCACAATCGAAAGCACATAATATCCACCACTAATCCACATTATGGGTGCAGAAGTTTATGAAGAGTATTATGCAGAAGATGTGATGCAGCATATTTTTGGTATATTCATTTTAATCTCACCAATATATAAGAGGTGTATTGCATCATGTTATCCCTAAATATATGTGTGGGTATATACATTCCTGTTTATTAATAGTTGAAGGAACACAATACATTTTTCCTCTTAAATATAGAGAGGTTTTTTATAGATTCCTGAAACAATGTTCCCTTTTTCTTTAAAGTAGATTAGCGCAATAGTCTTTTTCTCTCACTTTTACCCTTTTCATCAAAAGGGTGCTTTAGGCTATTTTTGAGGGGTAAAATGCAGAATTACTTGTGAGTTCTGTTTTGAGTGAAAAGATTACCCTTTTGAGTGTTTTTCTTGGTTAACCATTAGATATAGTGGCTAAATTCGTTCTAAGTTAATTATGCGCATCCTGCAGGCCTTGAGAATTTAGTCACACAGTTAAGAGAGACAATGGTCCTTTTAGACTAAGGGTGAGCTTACTTCGGGTGAATAAAAGTTCAGAGATGATTACACATGATGAAGACAGTTAGGCTTGTTGGTGAGCTAGTTCTGAGGATGTCATGGGATAATGACTGTTATATTCCCAACAAGTATGGCTTTCATAAAGAAACACATGACTTGGGTGATAAGATGTGTTTTGTTGTAAAATGGGCCCGTTTGGTTTTCTGCTGGCCAGCGCTGGGTCACTGTGACAAAGCATATTTTGCGTCTGCCAATGAGAGGACCTGAAAAGATGACCAGCTGACCTCACCCCTTCCTTCTGTCTTCTGGTATATATTCTGTCGATTCCTGAGTTCGGCCTCTCTTCACATGCTGTCAGGACCGGAAGGATCTCCGCAGCACGCGAACCAGGGCAGAAGTGGCCGGCTACTTCTTAAAACATTACAATATGATTTTAGTATATTGTATTATATGGTGTTGTAATGTATTATAGTGCATTGCATTATTACCTTTGATAATTAAAACAGATTGTTTAAACTGGTATCTGGGTGTTCTCTGTCTGATTTCCTTCCTGTTATGATTTTAAGCAGGACTCGTCAAAACGACACGCGGAGCCGAGTGGGGTTGTAAAAACCTCAAAACTCCAACATGGGCAGTACTTACTTGCTGTTTACCGATGGTAACCGCTTTGGAGAAACTCACAGATGTTCACCTTGACTGTTGCCTCCGTGCGAATTTTCGAAAGGATCGAGGCATCTCTGTTAGGAGGCTTTGGGTTCCTCAATGCGCGATATGATTGGCCGTTCGAGCGATGACGTTCCGTTTCGTCCCTTCAAACGTGACACCTACGGTTAACAGGCAAACCAGTGGACAAATATCCAGAAATGACGTTTTTTCTGGCGTGTATGTGATCTTCAACTTTCTCAGCAGAATAAAATAAATATAAATATATCAGCAATTAAACAACATATTCCATTTATTTTCACACAATACGTCTCCTTTCAGTATCAACACTAATTCGGCTGACTTATATATTTGATCCAATTGGTAGATAGGGACACCTAGTGGTTAAAGCACGTTATTGAAATGTTTTGTTGAATAATCTTTCATCTTTAATAACCTGACTTTGGAAAGGGCTGGAAAGATACTTTTTTCACCAGGGGCCTCTAAATAGGGCCCAGATAAGAAATATGAAATATGGGAACCGTAACTCACCCAGACATTTTTTTTTCAATCTAATGTCAAACTCTCACAAAATCCTGTCTAGAGCTAAAGATTGGACACCCTTTGGTGAGGGAGGGAGAGAAAATTGAAAAAAATTGAAAAAAGGTGCTTGGCGCTTCGAGACTTTGAGAGTGTGTTGCTTCACTTGTGTGGAACCCGCTTGCAAAATTTGGGGCCGCGGTGACCTTCAACCAAGTCTCAAACTAAGGTTAAAGGTCATGTTTTCATGGCTCTCAGTACTCTAGACGGCACAAATGAAGGTCCGACAGCTTTGAGCTTGGTGTCGTTGGAATCGCCTCGAAGAGTACATGCAGATTCATCCCTCTGCTGCTCCGAATGTCAAACGTTACGGCTTAAAACGGGACAAAGCCTTCCATTATGCCGCTTTCACTCTCGCTCTTGTGGTGACAGAGCACGCCAATTTTCCCGCATGCTAGGCAGACAAGAGTATTCTAGTTAGCTTTGGTTTGATGTGGAGATGTGATTTGATGTGTCGTTTGTCCCCCAACTCCTCTCCAAAGTTGAGATATGTAATAAAATACTCAGGGGAGTTTCCTGAATTTTCATGCCGAAAGCCAAGCACTAGGCCCTGGGTAAATTAAGACGCTGATTTGGGGCACTTTTTCCACTTTCCCTGGTGCTAGAAACTCAAGTCAGGCATCCCTGGAATCGTTGTAAAAATACATTTCTAGCTAAACGTAATTGAGAATGCAGTTTAGTTCTGTGGGAACGTAATTTTTAGGAGACAGGGTTGCCAGGACACACGCCGATTAGAATAGTCTATTCTGCACATGTGCAATAGTGCACAATTCAAATGTTACAGTAATGAGTTGTGCTCTTTATATACAGTCTATCATGGTTGTGCTAAGATGATTTTGAGTACAGTGCTTTACTGTGAAATAATAGTTAAATAATGTGAAATCCAATTCTACTGTTTTATAGATATTTTGTTGTGATATTACAGGGGCTTTTGATTACAATATTTCTCTGTAATATGATACTCTTAAATGCTGTGAAATCCTTGCAATTTTTACAATGTTGTCGTGATATTACAACATTTGATGTGATATTACAGAGGATTTTGATTGCAGTATTTTATTGTGAAATAATAGTTAAATGCTGTGAAATCACAAGGATACAGTCCTTTTTACATGTATTTGTTGGGATATTACAGGGGGCCTTGATTACAATATGTCACTGTAAAATAATACTGTTAAATGTTGTGAAATGCTGGTAATTGTTTACAGTGTAGATACATTTTCACACACTAGACTGGTGTTAGTATGAAAGGAGAAAGAATGGTTTAAACCTATGTTGGTCACTGAGTGGTTTATTTTAGCTTGAAAAAGTAGAGGAACTGGCAACTGAAACCAAAAGTCTGGCTCTTGAAACACACATAGTTCATCAATTCTACTTCGATTTTTATTTTAGGTTTTTCAAAATTATCCCCCTGGGAGTCAGCTAAATACTGAAAAATAACAATGGACATTCAAACAGAAAAAGTATACCCTCTCTGGCAGAGTATTCGTCGTCCTCTATAACTCTTGCCAGTCCAAAGTCAGCGATTTTGCAGAGCAGACTCTCTGACACCAGGACATTGGCTGCTCTCAGGTCTCTGTGGATATATTTCTTATCCTCTATATACGCCATGCCCTCTGACAGATCACTGCGGTCAAACCTCCACCTTCAGCCACCTGAAGAAGACCACTCCCCCTGAAGATCCCCACAGAAAGCTGTGGCCAAACCTCCACCTACAGCCTCTATAAGGAAACCTGCACAGATGTTATCCTACTGCCATGTGGAGACCTGAGTGGAACAGCAAGGACCAGAGAAACACACGCAGATATAGTCCTTCAGTTAATATGCAAACATATTTCTGTGTTATTAAAGCTGGCTCTCTGTTTACATTCTGTTCACTTGTTCTTCTTCTCACAGGTGTTTTCAAACGTTGTGAAAGACTGAGCTCACACTCCTCAACATGAACCTGACTGACTGTGATGATGCCTTCATGAAACGAGAGAGCTCCACTGTACGTACAGTATAGCAGTATGAGATTTCTTAACAACACTCTGAGTGTATTGGGATTTTTAATGGAAGTTCGGTGATGAATTATATTTGAATGCAACACCTTACACTTCCAGATCTACCAGGAGCTGCTTCAGGGCCCTGAGGACAACTCCTTTTACAACAGCTCTGTTCCAGAGATGCTTCCTCCTCCTCCACATCCTCCACCTTCACCACCCCTCCTGCTCATCGCCAGAACTAAGAGTGCCCCACCCCATCTCAGCAACCACCACCAGTTTCTCCTGCAGCCACCGCCTAAGAGGAAGAGACGTAAAGAAAAAAGGAAAGGTAAAGGCGAGGCAGCGGAAGACGGTGCCCCTCAACACAAAATCCCCCACATGGCGGTGGATCTGCAAGAAACGCCAGATGAGAAGCAAGGGGCCGAGTCATCCTCAGAAAAAGGGTCTCTAATGGACACCCAACAGAATGAACGAGAGAAAACAGACATCGAGGGGAACGGAGTGAGCCAAGACAACACACTTGAAATAACACCCACTACTGATGACAACGCAAAAACCAACACAAATGGTGGTGAAGAAAGCAGAACAAAAGATGGAGGAAGTGAAAAATTAAGCGAGAAATCGTCCAAGACTGAGCAGAAGAAGAACGCCGACTCAGGATCGCACCGTGCCGGGTTCGACGCCTTTATGACGGGATACATTTTTGCCCATTCATGTACCCTGAACAAGAAGAAAGGAGTGGAAGCTGTAGGGAAGGAGGAGGAAGAGGAGTCCTGGGTTCCTTCGTGTCTCAATAAGGTCTACCTCAGCGGTAAATCTGCTCCTCTCAACGTGGTTAAAAGCACCTTCTCCAAATCATCCAAGGCCCATGTGGCGAAGATGGAGATGGTTTGGGGAAAGAAAGTGTAGTGTCCACACTTGAACACAGTATTTAAGTGTTTATATTAGGGCTGCAACTAATTATTATTTTAATTAGTAATCTGCAGATTACTTTTACGATAAACTGTTTGTTCAATAAATTGTCCAAAAATAATAAAAAAGGAACAACCTCAAAAGACTCAAAGTCCAAGTGATTCAATGTTTTGTTGAGTCCAAACCTATGGTCCAAACCCAAAGATGTTGACTTTAATATAATATTTAACAGAGAAAAGCCAAGATCTAAAAACTGCATTTTCTGGCATTTTTTCCATGGATAATTACTTAAAGGATACATCAATAATCAAAGAAGTTGGTATTTTTTTCTCTGGATGCACCTATTGATTGGTCAATTACTAGTTACAACTCCAATGTACATGTGCAGGTTCAATATCAATAATTGTTTAGCCTGCCAACAGTTTGGCTCAACTATTTGATGGACAGTGCTGAACCCCAGAGGGATGGGTAGATCCCCTTCCTCTGTCACTATGAGGTTGACCATTTCTGTTTTTAGTGACACATTTTGACAATTATTGAATAGATTGGCTTGGAATTTGGTCCATGCCCCCCCCCCCCCCCTCAGGATGGATGGATTTAAAAGAGTAATCCCTAACTAGGGAACCAGGATTTTGTGTTGATTTTCATTTGCCATGTTTTAAGAATGATGGAATAGGGGGTCAGTTTGCTTGTGGAACAACCTTTCAGTCTGGCAGTGTTGAAATGTAAGTCTGTTTCTCATGCTCTATACTGTTTTTATTTCTTTGTAAGACTTTTGTACATTTGTACCTACTATTAATAGTATTAAAGACGGTAATAAAGTGCAATTCAGTGGCAGCTGTTTTGATCAAGCCAGGTATTGTTTCTTAAGTTTCTCTGGAAAGAGCCAGATTCTTGATTTGCATTCATTCTTCATTTTTAGATGTTTGTATAATTACCTTTTACAGGAGTTACCTTTTGAAAAAATAAATGTATGCTCTTTAAAAATGATCATTGTCTTTATTTCATTATTTACTTATACTGGTTTTATCTTGAAGGATGATTAAAACAAAATGCCATAATATAACCCCTTGCTATAACCAGCACATCATTTTTGAATCGACTGTCCATGGAAGTAATAGTTAATATATCAGCAGTGTGGCACCAATTGTACCACACTCACAAGTTGACATCCCATTTTAAATACGTTTTTAAAACGTTTTTGTTTGTAGATACATTCATTTTTATTGTGAACTACAAGATTGATAATCATTTTATTTTTTAAATGTTTGCAAACTGACTACAGTGAAAGTTGGTGTATAGCTCCTTCACAGGATAAACCATTTGGTCTTTAGTAACTCAGCCTGTCCTCTGGCGCCACCCTCTGGACACATATTTTCTTGTTTCTGTTTGTGTGATGGAGAAGGAATTACATTTGTTTGTTGTTACAAATACTTTCAGTTGAAACAGATTCCTGGTGACAACATTGTTTGGAAGTAGTTCAGCTTGAACACATCACTGAGGGTAAAGTATGTCACAGAACACAGGATTATTTAATAGAGGTGTTTTCATTGAATTCAATATCAAAGCAATCACGTGTATATAATGGGGTGCTAGGTGTTGACCGCTGTGGATCACACTGGTTGTGTTGTTCTTGTTGTCTCCTGTCCCACTTCAGGAAGGCCATACACCCAGGAAGAGCCCTGCCCTGTGATATCAAAAAAAGGCAATGTACAGAGATTAAATTAGTGTAAATCTTCACATGAAACTTTTGTCAAAAAAACAATCATGAAAGAGACAAACTCTGTCTTTAATGTTCTACTTAACAAAACACAGGTCCTTGTGTCCAGTTGCCACAGTATGGTTCACTCAGAGGAACATATAAACAAAGTCTAGTTTATATTTTACATGATGATTGCAATGAAATCACAGCACGTAAGCATTTATATATTTATAGTTAAACACGTTTTATATCAGACACTGGAAGCATTCAGATCTGTAAATTCATATGAAGACATGGACTTCATCTCAGGCTGATTGTACTTTACATTTGAGATCAGATGTTTCATTAGCTCAACTTGCTGTATTTGAGTAATGATCAGACCAACAACAACATCAACAGGTACGTAGGCCAACCACTAATAGTTCAATAACAAGTGTTTTCATAATTTCTTTCCATAGAGGTTTCGTCTTTAGGTTCAAGATAACGATAAACCATGTATTGATATTTGTCTCTGCTGCACATTGTGATTTATCTCTAAGCTAGCAAACTGAAAGCTGCGTGTTATACATTTCCAGTTTAATACCAGTTATATATCTACAGATTCAATATTTATGTTTACAAAATGGACGTAGAGGATTCCATGGTTGCTATGGTTTGACGCAGGACTAGCGTCAATATCGGATCAATATTTAAACCATAACAACCTGAAAACTACCTGAAGACGGTCACGAAAATATTTTCTCCGCTTTCACTCGACGATTCTGCCAAATTATCGCTTCTTCTCAAGTCTTTTTACATCCCGACAAGAGTCAGAGAACCCCTGAGAGTTATTACAGCGAGAAAACACACTTTAATTATGGAAAATGTAAGATTTCATAACGTTGAAAGTCCCCGTTGTTTCCAATGTGCTTTGCCGTCGACATTTTCAGAAACCTCACAGTTTACTGATGTTTATCAAATCATTTAGTCTCCTGTAACGATAAGTAGGCCTACCATTAAACAGTGTAACTATCAGATTAAGGTCAAGTATACTGTGACGACTCAATTAATACATCTTTGCATTAAAAACTACCAAAAATACACATGCATTCATCAAAACTAGGCTATATGACAATATTAACAAATAAATGTTGTATCTAATACAAATCATTTATATTAACTTTTTAGGCTATATCACCCAGCTTCAAGCTGAAATACATTCATATTGTAACTTTGAATCAAGCTAATTAAAGTCACTCACTTTAACTTAGCATTATTTCCATCATATACATGTGCAATATTATATGTTCAAACAATAAACAGACATATGCTTATTATATAACATTGTAATCACGTCACATATGTGTCACTAAAGCACAATATTAACTGACATGAGGGCCTAAAGGTGGCTCTTGTTTTGTTACCGGACCTGTCTCGTCTTGAGGAGGTTTTCAGACTTTGATTATGTTTCATGTTTCTTCATTTATGATTTTTATCCAACAACCACATCCATCTTTGGCAAGTTAATCTTCCAGCACATAAAACTATAACACATTTGATTTGTATACTACGACATGACAACATACTTGAAAAAGGTCCATCCTGCATGTACTTGTAGAGCCTCATCCTAACATGAGTGTGTGTTGTTGCAGGGTCGAGTGCCCGTCCTCCCGCAGGACAACCAGACAGGAAGGAGAGTCTCTGCCCGCCAGAGGAGGCCTGCAGTCTGCAGACAGTGTCCCTGCTGCAGGGACGACCAGGTGAGACATCTGATCCTCAACTCTGTTCCTTGAAATTGTACACAGTTTAATCCACAAGATTGTTTGACAGGTTTACAAAAAGGTAAACACATAGTGGAGTATATTGTCAATACTAAATAGTTTGAGAAGGTCCATTGTACAGGACTAATGCCCCAAATACTCACATTTCAAGTAATCCTCTGCATCTGATGTAGATGTTTCCTCTTGTAAAATGATAAAAGTATGTTGTTAAGTAAGAAGTTTACTAGAGTCTGACATCCTCTCGTGTTTTGCTGACCTTCTCCAGGTGCCACATACAAAGCGCCGGCGCCCTGCTGCTTCTGCAGACCTTCCCCAGAAAAGGAAGCAGACCTCCGCGGCTCTTCCTCCTAAACCTGCTGACCTGCCACCTGTCTCTAATGTGGCCTCCAGCCCCCGGACCTCCAATGCTCCCCTGCACCTCGAAGACCCTATTAGGATCCACAACCGCTCAGTCGAGGAGTACCAGCTCATCTACCATGAAGTTGTGGATAACATGCTGAGGTACGTTGCGTCACAAATGAGTCAGTTCATTTACAGAGTTTCCACTCTCTTAGAAATCTATCTCTCTATTTTCCTTCATCATAAAGATTTATTTTTGTGTTTCTCCTCTCAGGTTCCCGGACGGTCGCCTGCGTCCATATAGTTTGGGTCTGGGTCGTCGTATCAAGCAGAAGCTGTGGGAGCGACTGGACCGTCCGATGTTCACAGAGACAGTGGATGAAGACGGTCTGGTCCATGTGGACGTGTCCTACGGTGCTGGAGTCCAGCCTCCGCTCTACAACGTGGATGTTTCTGGTGAACCAGAGCCCGAATATCCACCAGCAAAAAGGGCAAAGCACTAAGACACACTCTCATAAGCTGACATGTCTAATAATACTGTGCTTTAAGTTTAGTTTAGTTTTTTTTAAAGTATGGCAGATAAGTTTAAGTTTATTAAGTGTAGAGATACGTTTTTAGTGCCAAGCATAAGTATTATGTGCTAAGTCTTTAGTTTTAAGTATTTAGTAATAAGTATAAGTCTAAAGTGTTAAGAGTAAGTGTTTAGTTTAAGTTTTTAGTTATAGTCATTTGTTTGAAGTATTTCATATTAAGTGTTACGTTTTTAGTGCCAAGCACAAGTATTAAGTGTCAAGTCTTTAATTTTAAGTATTTAGTAATAAGTATAAAGTGTTAAGAGTAAGTGTTTAGTTTAAGTTTTCTGTTTAAGTACTAAGTTGAAGTATTAAGTATTTAGTGTTAAGAGTAAGTATTTAGTAGTAAGTATAAGTATTTAGTGTTTAGTTTAAGTATTTAGTAATAAGTTTAAGTATTTAGTATTAAGAATAAGTATTTAGTGTTAAGAGTTAGTATTTAGTTGAGTTAAGTTTACTTTCATTGATCTTAATGTATCTCACCACTGATGAATTGTCTTCCTCTGAATCAGTTCCTGCTCCTCTGTTAACAGTCTTCTTACTCCAGCTTCAGCCTCAACAGCAACAGTTATCACCTGCCAGAACACCTGCTCCACCCTCCAGCCTCCACCTGTTACTTCTACCAGACAAAACATCAGCCTTGAGCTGCAGCCTGTGAGATGACAGACTCCTCTCCACCTGCAGCCTCTGTCTCTCTGTTGCCTACATCCTCTACCAGCAGCTTCAGCATCAAACTGCTGCCTCACTCTTCACCTGCAGCCTCTGTCAGCAACCTGCAGCCATCTCCTCCAACTGCACATTCTGTTGAATGGCTGATGGCTGAACCTCCATCTACAGCCTTTGCCAGTGCCTATACCTCTCGAAGTGAACTGCTATCCGAGCCTCCACCCACAGCCTCTGTCAGCAACCTGCAGCTTCCGCCTCCACCTGCAGATTCCTACAGCCATCTGAAGACGACCACTGGGGGAGTGGTCGTCTTCAGATGAAGATCCCCACAGAAAGCTGTGGCCAAACCTCCACCTACAGCCTCTATAAGGAAACCTGCACAGATGTTATCCTACTGCCATGTGGAGACCTGAGTGGAACAGCAAGGACCAGAGAAACACACGTAGATATAGTCCTTCAGTTAATATGCAAACATATTTCTGTGTTATTAAAGCTGGCTCTCTGTTTACATTCAGTTCACTTGTTCTTCTTCTCACAGGTGTTTTCAAACGTTGTGAAAGACTGAGCTCACACTCCTCAACATGAACCTGACTGACTGTGATGATGCCTTCATGAAACGAGAGAGCTCCACTGTACGTACAGTATAGCAGTATGAGATTTCTTAACAACACTCTGAGTGTATTGGGATTTTTAATGGAAGTTCGGTGATGAATTATATTTGAATGCAACACCTTACACTTCCAGATCTACCAGGAGCTGCTTCAGGGCCCTGAGGACAACTCCTTTTACAACAGCTCTGTTCCAGAGATGCTTCCTCCTCCTCCACATCCTCCACCTTCACCACCCCTCCTGCTCATCGCCAGAACTAAGAGTGCCCCACCCCATCTCAGCAACCACCACCAGTTTCTCCTGCAGCCACCGCCTCCATATGTAGATTCTGACAGACACTGCTGACAGCCAAACCTCCTCCTACAGCTTCTGCCAGTGCACCTGCGTCTACACCTCTTGAAGCCAACTGCGGCTGAACCTCCACCCACAGCCTCTGTCAGCAACCTGAACCAGCACCTACACCTCTCGTACACTACTGCCATCCAAACCTCCACCTGTAACCTTTGCCAGCCGCCTGAAGACACCTCCTCCACCTGAAGATCCCCACAGAAAGCTGGGGTCAAACCTCCACCTTCCGCCTCTATAAGGAAACCTGCACAGATGTTATCCTACTGCTATGGTTGGATCTAAGTGGAACAGCAACGACCAGAGAAACACTGGTAAATATGATCTTTGAGTAAACATGGGAAAATATATCTGTATAAAAATAGCATGCCTGGGCTGGGCTTCTGTTTATATTCTGTGCACTTCTTCTTCTTCTCACAGGTGTTTCCATACGTTGTGTGAAAGACTGAGCACACACTCCTCAACATGAACCTGACTGATTGTGATGATGCCTTCATGAAACAGAAAGAGCTCCTCTTCCTCCCACTTGTACGTAGAGTATAGCAGTATGAGACATTAAGTCATGGGATTTTTGATGGAAGTTTGCTGATGAATGCTATTTTAATGCAACACCTTTTCTTTGTGTTTTCTCCAGGCCTTGTTGGACTTCCAGATCAAGAGATGCTTCCTCCTCCCTATCGTGCACGTTCACCACCCTTCCTGCTCATTGCCAGGACTAAAAATGCCCCTCCCCATCTCTGCAACCACCAGCACTTTCTACGCATGCCGATTCATTGAAGGCCAAAGATTGCAGAGACGCTCCACCCGAGACTTCAGTGCCTTACTTTTCCAACAACGCCCCCTAATACGACGTCCAATGTGCTCTTTTAAGCCTCTGCACTGTTTTACAATAAATGAACTATTGTCTGCAACCATCTGATCAGTAATTTGAGACCAGAATAATTTGTATAAAACAGATCCTAAGGATATGATTGTTTTTGTGTGTTTAAGTTGAAGTGTGTTCCTTTGTCATGGTATATTAATTATTAGTCGCCACTTATTTAGGGTTTATATTAATACATTAATAACATTAACACATTCACTTTCTAGTAATTCATCATGTCGGAATTTCTTGAGCCAAATGTACAAAGACATCTGACACAAAATGTAATTACTGCAATTACGGCTATTTCAGCCAATACAACATTTCCACAATCTCATCTGAAATATCAACAAGTATCATTGAAATGCGTATTAAATAAATAAAAAGCGTGTTGTTTCAATTTTCCAAAATAAAGTTTATTTTTCCTCTACATTTAAGGTGAATTCTAAATATGAACCAAATATACCAAGAGTCACAATATGTCAAAGCCAGACATTTAATTATATAATAGCCCACTATATATGTACAGTTGAAATAATACAGATAACATATTCACACCAATTAAACAATTAAACAAATGCTAAATAACTTCAATATGAAGTGGGGTTCAGAGATGATCAGGATATTCAAGAAACAGTTAACAAACAGAAAATGATTAAAGAATATTTTGTTAGAGATTGAAGAACATTGTTAGAGCAGCTTACGAAATAATAAGTCATGAAATGTGAAATTCAGTCATTTACACTATATAAAAGGAGAAATGATTGTGTGAAGTCAAACAGCTAATCGTAAATACAGCATGGCCCTTTTTCAATTGTTGCCACATTATATACACATCCAGTCTCTTTTAGGCAGCTTTTTGGACAGGAATAAAGACATTGTGTCCTAGCATTGCAAACTCTTATGTATAATGTCACCTATTTGTTCTGTCCCTTTCAAACATACATTGAATTTGAGATGGTCAGGTACTGGAATAGCACATACACTTTGAATAGTACAGTACGGTAAATCCAGGGAAATGTTCTTAACAGCAAATATATAAGAAACACATTGTAAACATGTATAGGAGCACATTTCAAGATTGTTAGGGCTTTAGACATTAGTCTGGTATATACAAAATATTACAACTATAACAACACATCCAAAGCAGCTCCAAATATAATTTCTGGCTGAAAGTGTCCCTCTCTATGGTTGTTGCTGGTATTGTCCCTCTGTGGCGGTGTAGAAGTCGTCCAGGACACTCTGCAGGTACTCGAAGGTGGGCCTGTCTTCAGGTTTGTGCTTCCAGCAGGACGTCATGATGGCGTAGAGCTCGTCAGGACAGCTGTCAGGCTGAGGCATCCTGTAGCCGCGCTGCACCGAGGAAATCACCTCTCCTTTGGTCATACCTGAGGAGAACACAGGCAGGCATGCAGGTGAGAATCTAGGATTGTTTAGAGCAGGGGTGTCCCAACTACGGCCCGGGGGCCAACTGCGGTCCGTTGTCCATTTTAAATTGGCCCTCAGCTAATTGTAAAAGCATAATGGAATATGGCCCACATCTGAAACTTGTGCTTTTCTTATATTGCACTTCTTAAATATATATGTATATGACACAGTAGTATTCGTGTGTTCATGTAACCAATTTTCAAATAAATTCAGTCAATTAAAGTTGAAAACATTTTCTAACAAATCTTAGTTGATAAAAAAACGCCCAATAACTTACTTACATATCAAGTTTCAAATATACCTTTCCTCTTTCCCCTTATTATAAGCAATCTGAGGCTTCTGTTTTAAGAGATGAGTTGTCAACACTTTTTGTAACTAAATAAATGAAACCCGATGGAAAGCTGTGATGTAGGCGTTTTTTTCTCTTTAAGCATTTCAATTATCAAGAATAATTTACCTACATTTGATTGATTTTGCTAACTTATAACTTAACTTATGAGGCAATAAACCTCACCTCTGGTGGGGGGCCCAACCCTTTATATGCTTTTCTGTATGTGGCCTTCAGTGAAAAAAGTTTGGACACCCCTGGTTTAGAGGGACAACACACATACTCTATATAGCCACGTAGTCATTAGCTTGAGTAAAGAATCACCAGTAGAGGACGGTAGATATTCAAAACACAATGACTCCAGTATTGTGGAAACCTCTTTTACTGTAGTCACCACGTTTGTCTTAGTCAAATTGTTCGTTATAAGTAAAGCTACGCAAGTTATTTAATGGTATTTTGTGCATTATTCAAAGATCATAACACTGTAGTTTAAAAAAAATTCAAATAATATAAGTAGTACAAATAGGCTACTTAGGTTTTTTTTTTTACCTGGGTAGGGGCATTTCCCGTATGTTATAATCTCATAGAGCAGAACTCCGAAGGACCAGATGTCTGACTTGATGGTGAAGGATCCGTAGTTGATGGCCTCTGGAGCCGTCCACTTGATGGGGAATTTGGCTCCTGAGCATGACATGGTAAAAAACATTAAATATGCCGTTCATTTAGTATCTAACAAAACCAGCTGCTTGACATGATCATTGGCTCAGTGGCTTTTGTGCTACCATGAACATACTGTAGGAGAAAATCAAACTCTTCAAAACCATTGACCATTAATCCAGTAAGACAACTTTGGGAAGATTAAATTGTATCTTTTTAATCTTCCATAAACCAATCATTACTGAATTTTCTATGAAAATTGTTGTTACAAAATGCAAAACACATGAAGTTACACTATCAATGTGTGTAAAATCGTTTTTTGCAGATAAGTGCATAAGATGTCACTGAAATAAAAAAATATTTGAAATGCCAAATGATTTGCTCTCATCATAATTGCTTTTGCCATTAGTTGTTTACATCTGAAAATGTTTTAACCTTACTGCACTGATCAGCTTAGTGATAGACAGTCATAGCCTACTAGGCCAAGGAGTTGGTAGAGTATGGCCATAAAACTGCAAATCTATGCTAAAGGTCACAACTAATAAACGCCATTAATTCTGCTTACAGTAAAAGCCTGTGAATGGTGGCTCTAGTATGTTCAGGAAACTGACACTGAAAAACATTAAATATGCCGTTCATTTAGTATCTAAATTCAAATCAAATTCATCTGCTGAATGGAAAAAAACTCCATATTTCCACGTGTATGACCCATACTGCAATGGAATATGTAAATGAAGGTCAGAATAAAAACCTGCGTTTATTTGTAATGTTCCTATGAAGGGAGTTTCAGTGTTTCCTGGTTCCAGGTCAGTAATCATCAGGTTTATGATGACACATAGATACATTTTCACACACTAGACTGGTGTTAGTATGAAAGGAGAAAGAATGGTTTAAACCTATGTTGGTCACTGAGTGGTTTATTTTAGCTTGAAAAAGTAGAGGAACTGGCAACTGAAACCAAAAGTCTGGCTCTTGAAACACACATAGTTCATCAATTCTACTTCGATTTTTATTTTAGGTTTTTCAAAAGTATCCCCCTGGGAGTCAGCTAAATACTGAAAAATAACAATGGACATTCAAACAGAAAAAGTATACCCTCTCTGGCAGAGTATTCGTCGTCCTCTATAACTCTTGCCAGTCCAAAGTCAGCGATTTTGCAGAGCAGACTCTCTGACACCAGGACATTGGCTGCTCTCAGGTCTCTGTGGATATATTTCTTATCCTCTATATACGCCATGCCCTCTGACAGATCACTGCGGTCAAACCTCCACCTTCAGCCACCTGAAGAAGACCACTCCCCCTGAAGATCCCCACAGAAAGCTGTGGCCAAACCTCCACCTACAGCCTCTATAAGGAAACCTGCACAGATGTTATCCTACTGCCATGTGGAGACCTGAGTGGAACAGCAAGGACCAGAGAAACACACGCAGATATAGTCCTTCAGTTAATATGCAAACATATTTCTGTGTTATTAAAGCTGGCTCTCTGTTTACATTCTGTTCACTTGTTCTTCTTCTCACAGGTGTTTTCAAACGTTGTGAAAGACTGAGCTCACACTCCTCAACATGAACCTGACTGACTGTGATGATGCCTTCATGAAACGAGAGAGCTCCACTGTACGTACAGTATAGCAGTATGAGATTTCTTAACAACACTCTGAGTGTATTGGGATTTTTAATGGAAGTTCGGTGATGAATTATATTTGAATGCAACACCTTACACTTCCAGATCTACCAGGAGCTGCTTCAGGGCCCTGAGGACAACTCCTTTTACAACAGCTCTGTTCCAGAGATGCTTCCTCCTCCTCCACATCCTCCACCTTCACCACCCCTCCTGCTCATCGCCAGAACTAAGAGTGCCCCACCCCATCTCAGCAACCACCACCAGTTTCTCCTGCAGCCACCGCCTAAGAGGAAGAGACGTAAAGAAAAAAGGAAAGGTAAAGGCGAGGCAGCGGAAGACGGTGCCCCTCAACACAAAATCCCCCACATGGCGGTGGATCTGCAAGAAACGCCAGATGAGAAGCAAGGGGCCGAGTCATCCTCAGAAAAAGGGTCTCTAATGGACACCCAACAGAATGAACGAGAGAAAACAGACATCGAGGGGAACGGAGTGAGCCAAGACAACACACTTGAAATAACACCCACTACTGATGACAACGCAAAAACCAACACAAATGGTGGTGAAGAAAGCAGAACAAAAGATGGAGGAAGTGAAAAATTAAGCGAGAAATCGTCCAAGACTGAGCAGAAGAAGAACGCCGACTCAGGATCGCACCGTGCCGGGTTCGACGCCTTTATGACGGGATACATTTTTGCCCATTCATGTACCCTGAACAAGAAGAAAGGAGTGGAAGCTGTAGGGAAGGAGGAGGAAGAGGAGTCCTGGGTTCCTTCGTGTCTCAATAAGGTCTACCTCAGCGGTAAATCTGCTCCTCTCAACGTGGTTAAAAGCACCTTCTCCAAATCATCCAAGGCCCATGTGGCGAAGATGGAGATGGTTTGGGGAAAGAAAGTGTAGTGTCCACACTTGAACACAGTATTTAAGTGTTTATATTAGGGCTGCAACTAATTATTATTTTAATTAGTAATCTGCAGATTACTTTTACGATAAACTGTTTGTTCAATAAATTGTCCAAAAATAATAAAAAAGGAACAACCTCAAAAGACTCAAAGTCCAAGTGATTCAATGTTTTGTTGAGTCCAAACCTATGGTCCAAACCCAAAGATGTTGACTTTAATATAATATTTAACAGAGAAAAGCCAAGATCTAAAAACTGCATTTTCTGGCATTTTTTCCATGGATAATTACTTAAAGGATACATCAATAATCAAAGAAGTTGGTATTTTTTTCTCTGGATGCACCTATTGATTGGTCAATTACTAGTTACAACTCCAATGTACATGTGCAGGTTCAATATCAATAATTGTTTAGCCTGCCAACAGTTTGGCTCAACTATTTGATGGACAGTGCTGAACCCCAGAGGGATGGGTAGATCCCCTTCCTCTGTCACTATGAGGTTGACCATTTCTGTTTTTAGTGACACATTTTGACAATTATTGAATAGATTGGCTTGGAATTTGGTCCATGCCCCCCCCCCCCCCTCCCTCAGGATGGATGGATTTAAAAAGTAATCCCTAACTAGGGAACCAGGATTTTGTGTTGATTTTCATTTGCCATGTTTTAAGAATGATGGAATAGGGGGTCAGTTTGCTTGTGGAACAACCTTTCAGTCTGGCAGTGTTGAAATGTAAGTCTGTTTCTCATGCTCTATACTGTTTTTATTTCTTTGTAAGACTTTTGTACATTTTTACCTACTATTAATAGTATTAAAGACGGTAATAAAGTGCAATTCAGTGGCAGCTGTTTTGATCAAGCCAGGTATTGTTTCTTAAGTTTCTCTGGAAAGAGCCAGATTCTTGATTTGCATTCATTCTTCATTTTAGATGTTTGTATAATTACCTTTTACAGGAGTTACCTTTTGAAAAAATAAATGTATGCTCTTTAAAAATGATCATTGTCTTTATTTCATTATTTACTTATACTGGTTTTATCTTGAAGGATGATTAAAACAAAATGCCATACTATAATCCCTTTAATATAACCAGCACATCATTTTTGAATCGACTGTCCATGGAAGTAATAGTTAATATATCAGCAGTGTGGCACCAATTGTACCACACTCACAAGTTGACATCCCATTTTAAATACGTTTTTAAAACGTTTTTGTTTGTAGATACATTCATTTTTATTGTGAACTACAAGATTGATAATCATTTTATTTTTTAAATGTTTGCAAACTGACTACAGTGAAAGTTGGTGTATAGCTCCTTCACAGGATAAACCATTTGGTCTTTAGTAACTCAGCCTGTCCTCTGGCGCCACCCTCTGGACAAACATTTTCTTGTTTCTGTTTGTGTGATGGAGAAGGAATTACATTTGTTTGTTGTTACAAATACTTTCAGTTGAAACAGATTCCTGGTGACAACATTGTTTGGAAGTAGTTCAGCTTGAACACATCACTGAGGGTAAAGTATGTCACAGAACACAGGATTATTTAATAGAGGTGTTTTCATTGAATTCAATATCAAAGCAATCACGTGTATATAATGGGGTGCTAGGTGTTGACCGCTGTGGATCACACTGGTTGTGTTGTTCTTGTTGTCTCCTGTCCCACTTCAGGAAGGCCATACACCCAGGAAGAGCCCTGCCCTGTGATATCAAAAAAAGGCAATGTACAGAGATTAAATTAGTGTAAATCTTCACATGAAACTTTTGTCAAAAAAACAATCATGAAAGAGACAAACTCTGTCTTTAATGTTCTACTTAACAAAACACAGGTCCTTGTGTCCAGTTGCCACAGTATGGTTCACTCAGAGGAAAATATAAACAAAGTCTAGTTTATATTTTACATGATGATTGCAATGAAATCACAGCACGTAAGCATTTATATATTTATAGTTAAACACGTTTTATATCAGACACTGGAAGCATTCAGATCTGTAAATTCATATGAAGACATGGACTTCATCTCAGGCTGATTGTACTTTACATTTGAGATCAGATGTTTCATTAGCTCAACTTGCTGTATTTGAGTAATGATCAGACCAACAACAACATCAACAGGTACGTAGGCCAACCACTAATAGTTCAATAACAAGTGCTTTCATAATTTCTTTCCATAGAGGTTTCGTCTTTAGGTTCAAGATAACGATAAACCATGTATTGATATTTGTCTCTGCTGCACATTGTGATTTATCTCTAAGCTAGCAAACTGAAAGCTGCGTGTTATACATTTCCAGTTTAATACCAGTTATATATCTACAGATTCAATATTTATGTTTACAAAATGGACGTAGAGGATTCCATGGTTGCTATGGTTTGACGCAGGACTAGCGTCAATATCGGATCAATATTTAAACCATAACAACCTGAAAACTACCTGAAGACGGTCACGAAAATATTTTCTCCGCTTTCACTCGACGATTCTGCCAAATTATCGCTTCTTCTCAAGTCTTTTTACATCCCGACAAGAGTCAGAGAACCCCTGAGAGTTATTACAGCGAGAAAACACACTTTAATTATGGAAAATGTAAGATTTCATAACGTTGAAAGTCCCCGTTGTTTCCAATGTGCTTTGCCGTCGACATTTTCAGAAACCTCACAGTTTACTGATGTTTATCAAATCATTTAGTCTCCTGTAACGATAAGTAGGCCTACCATTAAACAGTGTAACTATCAGATTAAGGTCAAGTATACTGTGACGACTCAATTAATACATCTTTGCATTAAAAACTACCAAAAATACACATGCATTCATCAAAACTAGGCTATATGACAATATTAACAAATAAATGTTGTATCTAATACAAATCATTTATATTAACTTTTTAGGCTATATCACCCAGCTTCAAGCTGAAATACATTCATATTGTAACTTTGAATCAAGCTAATTAAAGTCACTCACTTTAACTTAGCATTATTTCCATCATATACATGTGCAATATTATATGTTCAAACAATAAACAGACATATGCTTATTATATAACATTGTAATCACGTCACATATGTGTCACTAAAGCACAATATTAACTGACATGAGGGCCTAAAGGTGGCTCTTGTTTTGTTACCGGACCTGTCTCGTCTTGAGGAGGTTTTCAGACTTTGATTATGTTTCATGTTTCTTCATTTATGATTTTTATCCAACAACCACATCCATCTTTGGCAAGTTAATCTTCCAGCACATAAAACTATAACACATTTGATTTGTATACTACGACATGACAACATACTTGAAAAAGGTCCATCCTGCATGTACTTGTAGAGCCTCATCCTAACATGAGTGTGTGTTGTTGCAGGGTCGAGTGCCCGTCCTCCCGCAGGACAACCAGACAGGAAGGAGAGTCTCTGCCCGCCAGAGGAGGCCTGCAGTCTGCAGACAGTGTCCCTGCTGCAGGGACGACCAGGTGAGACATCTGATCCTCAACTCTGTTCCTTGAAATTGTACACAGTTTAATCCACAAGATTGTTTGACAGGTTTACAAAAAGGTAAACACATAGTGGAGTATATTGTCAATACTAAATAGTTTGAGAAGGTCCATTGTACAGGACTAATGCCCCAAATACTCACATTTCAAGTAATCCTCTGCATCTGATGTAGATGTTTCCTCTTGTAAAATGATAAAAGTATGTTGTTAAGTAAGAAGTTTACTAGAGTCTGACATCCTCTCGTGTTTTGCTGACCTTCTCCAGGTGCCACATACAAAGCGCCGGCGCCCTGCTGCTTCTGCAGACCTTCCCCAGAAAAGGAAGCAGACCTCCGCGGCTCTTCCTCCTAAACCTGCTGACCTGCCACCTGTCTCTAATGTGGCCTCCAGCCCCCGGACCTCCAATGCTCCCCTGCACCTCGAAGACCCTATCAGGATCCACAACCGCTCAGTCGAGGAGTACCAGCTCATCTACCATGAAGTTGTGGATAACATGCTGAGGTACGTTGCGTCACAAATGAGTCAGTTCATTTACAGAGTTTCCACTCTCTTAGAAATCTATCTCTCTATTTTCCTTCATCATAAAGATTTATTTTTGTGTTTCTCCTCTCAGGTTCCCGGACGGTCGCCTGCGTCCATATAGTTTGGGTCTGGGTCGTCGTATCAAGCAGAAGCTGTGGGAGCGACTGGACCGTCCGATGTTCACAGAGACAGTGGATGAAGACGGTCTGGTCCATGTGGACGTGTCCTACGGTGCTGGAGTCCAGCCTCCGCTCTACAACGTGGATGTTTCTGGTGAACCAGAGCCCGAATATCCACCAGCAAAAAGGGCAAAGCACTAAGACACACTCTCATAAGCTGACATGTCTAATAATACTGTGCTTTAAGTTTAGTTTAGTTTTTTTTAAAGTATGGCAGATAAGTTTAAGTTTATTAAGTGTAGAGATACGTTTTTAGTGCCAAGCATAAGTATTATGTGCTAAGTCTTTAGTTTTAAGTATTTAGTAATAAGTATAAGTCTAAAGTGTTAAGAGTAAGTGTTTAGTTTAAGTTTTTAGTTATAGTCATTTGTTTGAAGTATTTCATATTAAGTGTTACGTTTTTAGTGCCAAGCACAAGTATTAAGTGTCAAGTCTTTAATTTTAAGTATTTAGTAATAAGTATAAAGTGTTAAGAGTAAGTGTTTAGTTTAAGTTTTCTGTTTAAGTACTAAGTTGAAGTATTAAGTATTAAGTATTTAGTGTTAAGAGTAAGTATTTAGTAGTAAGTATAAGTATTTAGTGTTTAGTTTAAGTATTTAGTAATAAGTTTAAGTATTTAGTATTAAGAATAAGTATTTAGTGTTAAGAGTTAGTATTTAGTTGAGTTAAGTTTACTTTCATTGATCTTAATGTATCTCACCACTGATGAATTGTCTTCCTCTGAATCAGTTCCTGCTCCTCTGTTAACAGTCTTCTTACTCCAGCTTCAGCCTCAACAGCAACAGTTATCACCTGCCAGAACACCTGCTCCACCCTCCAGCCTCCACCTGTTACTTCTACCAGACAAAACATCAGCCTTGAGCTGCAGCCTGTGAGATGACAGACTCCTCTCCACCTGCAGCCTCTGTCTCTCTGTTGCCTACATCCTCTACCAGCAGCTTCAGCATCAAACTGCTGCCTCACTCTTCACCTGCAGCCTCTGTCAGCAACCTGCAGCCATCTCCTCCAACTGCACATTCTGTTGAATGGCTGATGGCTGAACCTCCATCTACAGCCTTTGCCAGTGCCTATACCTCTCGAAGTGAACTGCTATCCGAGCCTCCACCCACAGCCTCTGTCAGCAACCTGCAGCTTCCGCCTCCACCTGCAGATTCCTACAGCCATCTGAAGACGACCACTGGGGGAGTGGTCGTCTTCAGATGAAGATCCCCACAGAAAGCTGTGGCCAAACCTCCACCTACAGCCTCTATAAGGAAACCTGCACAGATGTTATCCTACTGCCATGTGGAGACCTGAGTGGAACAGCAAGGACCAGAGAAACACACGCTAGATATAGTCCTTCAGTTAATATGCAAACATATTTCTGTGTTATTAAAGCTGGCTCTCTGTTTACATTCATGTTCACTTGTTCTTCTTCTCACAGGTGTTTTCAAACGTTGTGAAAGACTGAGCTCACACTCCTCAACATGAACCTGACTGACTGTGATGATGCCTTCATGAAACGAGAGAGCTCCACTGTACGTACAGTATAGCAGTATGAGATTTCTTAACAACACTCTGAGTGTATTGGGATTTTTAATGGAAGTTCGGTGATGAATTATATTTGAATGCAACACCTTACACTTCCAGATCTACCAGGAGCTGCTTCAGGGCCCTGAGGACAACTCCTTTTACAACAGCTCTGTTCCAGAGATGCTTCCTCCTCCTCCACATCCTCCACCTTCACCACCCCTCCTGCTCATCGCCAGAACTAAGAGTGCCCCACCCCATCTCAGCAACCACCACCAGTTTCTCCTGCAGCCACCGCCTAAGAGGAAGAGACGTAAAGAAAAAAGGAAAGGTAAAGGCGAGGCAGCGGAAGACGGTGCCCCTCAACACAAAATCCCCCACATGGCGGTGGATCTGCAAGAAACGCCAGATGAGAAGCAAGGGGCCGAGTCATCCTCAGAAAAAGGGTCTCTAATGGACACCCAACAGAATGAACGAGAGAAAACAGACATCGAGGGGAACGGAGTGAGCCAAGACAACACACTTGAAATAACACCCACTACTGATGACAACGCAAAAACCAACACAAATGGTGGTGAAGAAAGCAGAACAAAAGATGGAGGAAGTGAAAAATTAAGCGAGAAATCGTCCAAGACTGAGCAGAAGAAGAACGCCGACTCAGGATCGCACCGTGCCGGGTTCGACGCCTTTATGACGGGATACATTTTTGCCCATTCATGTACCCTGAACAAGAAGAAAGGAGTGGAAGCTGTAGGGAAGGAGGAGGAAGAGGAGTCCTGGGTTCCTTCGTGTCTCAATAAGGTCTACCTCAGCGGTAAATCTGCTCCTCTCAACGTGGTTAAAAGCACCTTCTCCAAATCATCCAAGGCCCATGTGGCGAAGATGGAGATGGTTTGGGGAAAGAAAGTGTAGTGTCCACACTTGAACACAGTATTTAAGTGTTTATATTAGGGCTGCAACTAATTATTATTTTAATTAGTAATCTGCAGATTACTTTTACGATAAACTGTTTGTTCAATAAATTGTCCAAAAATAATAAAAAAGGAACAACCTCAAAAGACTCAAAGTCCAAGTGATTCAATGTTTTGTTGAGTCCAAACCTATGGTCCAAACCCAAAGATGTTGACTTTAATATAATATTTAACAGAGAAAAGCCAAGATCTAAAAACTGCATTTTCTGGCATTTTTTCCATGGATAATTACTTAAAGGATACATCAATAATCAAAGAAGTTGGTATTTGTTTCTCTGGATGCACCTATTGATTGGTCAATTACTAGTTACAACTCCAATGTACATGTGCAGATTCAATATCAATAATTGTTTAGCCTGCCAACAGTTTGGCTCAACTATTTGATGGACAGTGCTGTCAAAAAAACAATCATGAAAGAGACTAACTCTGTCTTTAATGTTCTACTTAACAAAACACAGGTCCTTGTGTCCAGTTGCCACAGTATGGTTCACTCAGAGGAACATATAAACAAAGTCTAGTTTATATTTTACATGATGATTGCAATGAAATCACAGCACGTAAGCATTTATATATTTATAGTTAAACACGTTTTATATCAGACACTGGAAGCTTTCAGATCTGTAAATTCATATGAAGACATGGACTTCATCTCAGGCTGATTGTACTTTACATTTGAGATCAGATGTTTCATTAGCTCAACTTGCTGTATTTGAGTAATGATCAGACCAACAACAACATCAACAGGTATGTAGGCCAACCACTAATAGTTCAATAACAAGTGTTTTCATAATTTCTTTCCATAGAGGTTTCGTCTTTAGGTTCAAGATAACGATAAACCATGTATTGATATTTGTCTCTGCTGCACATTGTGATTTATCTCTAAGCTAGCAAACTGAAAGCTGCGTGTTATACATTTCCAGTTTAATACCAGTTATATATCTACAGATTCAATATTTATGTTTACAAAATGGACGTAGAGGATTCCATGGTTGCTATGGTTTGACGCAGGACTAGCGTCAATATCGGATCAATATTTAAACCATAACAACCTGAAAACTACCTGAAGACGGTCACGAAAATATTTTCTCCGCTTTCACTCGACGATTCTGCCAAATTATCGCTTCTTCTCAAGTCTTTTTACATCCCGACAAGAGTCAGAGAACCCCTGAGAGTTATTACAGCGAGAAAACACACTTTAATTATGGAAAATGTAAGATTTCATAACGTTGAAAGTCCCCGTTGTTTCCAATGTGCTTTGCCGTCGACATTTTCAGAAACCTCACAGTTTACTGATGTTTATCAAATCATTTAGTCTCCTGTAACGATAAGTAGGCCTACCATTAAACAGTGTAACTATCAGATTAAGGTCAAGTATACTGTGACGACTCAATTAATACATCTTTGCATTAAAAACTACCAAAAATACACATGCATTCATCAAAACTAGGCTATATGACAATATTAACAAATAAATGTTGTATCTAATACAAATCATTTATATTAACTTTTTAGGCTATATCACCCAGCTTCAAGCTGAAATACATTCATATTGTAACTTTGAATCAAGCTAATTAAAGTCACTCACTTTAACTTAGCATTATTTCCATCATATACATGTGCAATATTATATGTTCAAACAATAAACAGACATATGCTTATTATATAACATTGTAATCACGTCACATATGTGTCACTAAAGCACAATATTAACTGACATGAGGGCCTAAAGGTGGCTCTTGTTTTGTTACCGGACCTGTCTCGTCTTGAGGAGGTTTTCAGACTTTGATTATGTTTCATGTTTCTTCATTTATGATTTTTATCCAACAACCACATCCATCTTTGGCAAGTTAATCTTCCAGCACATAAAACTATAACACATTTGATTTGTATACTACGACATGACAACATACTTGAAAAAGGTCCACCCTGCATGTACTTGTAGACTCTAGAGCCTCATCCTAACATGAGTGTGTGTTGTTGCAGGGTCGAGTGCCCGTCCTCCCGCAGGACAACCAGACAGGAAGGAGAGTCTCTGCCCGCCAGAGGAGGCCTGCAGTCTGCAGACAGTGTCCCTGCTGCAGGGACGACCAGGTGAGACATCTGATCCTCAACTCTGTTCCTTGAAATTGTACACAGTTTAATCCACAAGATTGTTTGACAGGTTTACAAAAAGGTAAACACATAGTGGAGTATATTGTCAATACTAAATAGTTTGAGAAGGTCCATTGTACAGGACTAATGCCCCAAATACTCACATTTCAAGTAATCCTCTGCATCTGATGTAGATGTTTCCTCTTGTAAAATGATAAAAGTATGTTGTTAAGTAAGAAGTTTACTAGAGTCTGACATCCTCTCGTGTTTTGCTGACCTTCTCCAGGTGCCACATACAAAGCGCCAGCGCCCTGCTGCTTCTGCAGACCTTTAGTGGGGCAGATAACAGCAATGTTTCAGAAGAATCGTGCAAATGATGATACAAACATCAAATTTGGCACACTTGTTCTCCAAGTGGTACTAATCAAATCTGCCTGATTGGCCAATTGAAAATCCAAGATGGCGGCCATTTTCCAAGATGGCCGCCAGATTAGCCACCCGAAAACCGTAATAAATCGGCACATAAAGGGTTAATCAAATTTTAAAGGTCATAAATGGATGCGATAATTTAAGACCTTTAATTTGATACCTATTTTATGGGTCTACGACCACAGGAAATACTTTAACCCATTGGGAACCATTGTCGACTTTTGTCACCATGAGTATTAGTCTCTAGGGGATTGCAGAAAAATATATAACTAACAGTTCCACAGTTACTTGAATGTCACTGTAGCTACTCAACTGTAGTTACTTAAGTATATTATAGTATATTGAAACGCCCTGGTGGCGAAATTCGGTACTGCACCTTTAAGGCACCATTTTGCGCGACATGTGTGTTTTGAGTAGACGCAAAATGCAGAGAGCACATGGTGGCAGCCAGTTCTATCAGCCACACATCGTTTTGGTTTAATCCGGAGTAGATATCTGTGACTGTGAGTACTTACAAACTGACTTGTGTGTGCCAAGTGATGTGTTTCAAAATTGTGGTTAATTGTGTGTTATTTCAATGTGTAAGCTAAGCTAAGCTAACTATGCTATCGGAAATTAGCTAATTCATTCAATTACTTTTTACACTATCATACAGGAAAGTGTCTATTATACACGTACAGGGTGGTAAAAGGATAAACCCTCAACCCTGAACGTCATACTGACCATGGACACAAGTGCTACTGTAAAATCGTGGAACACTGACTGGACCAAGTGTTGCCTATGTCAGGAGGTTAAGAAAGAAGATCTAAAGTCCCCCCAGGGCAATCCTGCCAGAAGAGGCGATGATGGATATATGAACTTGGCAACGAATATTCCTCTGTTTCACTCACTCAATGCACTACCAATCAAGCTAGACCCTGCAAGACTTGACGAAGGTGGTGGGATAAATGAAACCTTAAGACAAAAGAAGGCAAAATATCATGAGAGTTGTAGGCTTCTATTTAACAACACAAAGTTACACAGAGCTGAAAAAAGATCAACCCCTACAGGTACTAGTGATGAGGGCGGTAGAAGTAAGATCCCACGAAAGGTCCAAGAAGCTAAAACACAAGAATGTTTCTTTTGCAAAAAAGGAGGGGAGCTTAGAGAAGCAATGACAATGCAAGTGAATAACAGAATAAATGAATGTGCAAAAACACTCAGTGATAGAAAACTCCTTGCCAAACTAAGTGTAGGAGTTGTCATAGCACAAGAACTGAAATATCACCCTGCTTGTTTGGTGGCATTGTATAACCGAGAACGAGCCTACCTAAAGGTGCAGGAGCAAGAGAAAGCACAGGAGCACTGGAAGGAAGCATATCCAATTGCTTTCTCCGAACTAGTCACCTACATTAGTGAGATGAAAAATGCCAGTGATAGTAGTGATCCACTCATATTGAAGCTTGCTAATTTGACCATGCTTTACAAGCAGAGGCTGGAGCAGCTTGGTGTTGAATCGCCTGATGTTCATCCTACTCGACTCAAGGACCAGCTGCTTTTTCACATTCCCAAGCTGCAAGCTCATCACCAAGGACGAGATGTTATGCTGGCTTTTGAAAATGATGTGGGCTCAATCCTCTCACAAGCATCCAAGTACGGTGAAGCGATCCACCAAGCAAAAGCTGCTGGGATAATAAGACGAGATATGCTACATCAAAAGTCAAATTTCAGCAACACCTTTAACGACACAGACCTAGAACAGGCTGTACCACCATCACTGCTGCAATTTGTATGTATGATCGAACATGGTGCTGACATCAAGTCCCAACTTGTGCATGGAGCATCGAAATCTGACCTTTCTATATCGCAACTCCTACAGTACAACTGCTTTGCGAAATATAAGGAAGGAACGGATGTCCACAGGCATTCCAAGGACCGTGAGCCACCTTTTGCAGTCTACATGGACCTGTATGTGTTTGCCAAGACGAGGAAGAGACAAATCATTGAAATGCTCCATGAGAATGGGCTCAGCATATCATACGACAGAGTCCTAGAAATCTCAGCACAGTTAGGAGAAGCAGTTGTTGCACAGTATGTGCAAGATGGAGTAATCTGTCCCCCAGTCTTGAGAAAGCAGTTGTTCACAACTGCAGCAGTGGACAACATAGATCATAATCCGACTGCGACCACAGCTCAAACATCATTCCATGGTACAAGTGTGTCCATTTTCCAACATCCAAGCACTGAAAATGCTGGCGATGAACGTGAGCCGCTCAAACTAGAGTCAGAAATGAAGGTTAAGAAAGTACCAGAGCTTCCAGAAGCATACACCAATATTCGACCAGCATACATCACGAAAAAACCCAATCCTCCTCCAGTAGCAAACCAATCTTTACCAGCACCCGAGTCGATCTGGTTACACTTGAAGGAAGAATATTCTTGGTTGGAGGAAGTCTTCCTCACTGAGGATGTGGCTGATGCAGTAAGCATCACATGGTCAGCCCACCATGCAACGCAGAAAAGGAGCCATCCATTTGAAGTGAGTATTTCAGCGATGATGCCTCTGTGGCGAGATCAGGCTCACTCTGTTGCAACGATCAAGCATGCCATGGCGAAGGTCCGTGATACAGTGGCTTTTCTGAACCCAGGGCAGACACCTGTCATTGCTGCTGA